TTGTTTTTTTTTTTTTTTTTTTTTTAATTTAGTTTTTGGTAGGACAAAGAGACATGTGTATACGATTTAACATAAGTTCGGTCCTAGAATTCATTCTCTTAACCCTTCTGATTTGTGTTTTTTGAGACCTTGTTTTCTCCTGTGTACTATTTAGGTGGAGACAAGAACAAGATTCTATCTTGTGCAGGGAAAGTAATCTTGATTGTAATGACAATATAAGATCCTTGAAAGAGACGCAAAGAGAGAGCAAAACACTTGTACAACAAACTCAATTGCAAGAATGGTCTGAATCAAGACTGATAGACTGGTACTTGCCGGTTGGAATCTGACGATCAACGGCTACTTCACTGCCTACAACCGGTCAACCTACGTACGCCGCCACCGCTCCCAACGGTCACATTTCTCGAATGTTACAACGTTTGGGTTTTATTTTATGATTACCATTTTAAAATATTAAAAAATATCGGCTTATATAATACGGAAATCAGAACGGAGAAGAACATCGTCACAAGGATCCAAATCCAAACATGCATCGGTCGGTTGTACTTTCCGTTTTCGTCTTCTTGATTTCTATTTCCGGTAAGGTACAAGCCGACAATGCACCCGCTCCCTCGCCCAAACCTTCCCCCAATAAACCCCAATCTCCGGTGACTTCTCCGGCAAAATCTCATCACTCTGCTGCTTCTCCCTATAGTCCTCCGGCATCTCCTCAAACGCCCACTTCACAGTCTCCGGCGACGCATTCATCTCCGATGACAACTCCGTCGACAACCCCTGTTTCTCCTCCAACCGCTGCAACTCCGGCAAAGTCTCCGTCGACAACCCCTGTTTCTTCTCCGACGGCTGCGACTCCAGTAAAGTCTCCGTCGACAAATCCTGATTCTCCTCCGATCGGTGCAACTCCAGCGAAGTCTCCGTCGACAAACCCTGTTTCTCCTCCGATCGGTGCGACTCCGGCGAAGTCTCCGTCGACAAACCCTGTTTCTCCTCCGACCGCTGCGACTCCGGTGAAGTCTCCTGTGTCTCCGGCCGCTTCTCCGCCGCCCATCACAGCTCCCTCACAGTATCCGGTATCTACTCCGACGAAATCACCGGTGGGATCACCGCCGGTGACGGCGGATGCGCCGGAGACATACCCTAGTATTCCGTCGAGTTCAGCGACTCCAGCGATGACGCCGGAGATATTCCCATACGGTCGCGGGCCCAAGAGTCAGGCTCCGGCGACTGCGACGGCAACATTGGCGCCGGAGACAGCTAAGGGACCGGTGGGCGATAATTCGAGTTCGAGATCATTGCACGATGTGCGTGTCATCTCGACGGCATTATTGGTTCTTGGAACCACTTTGGTGATTTAGACAAATGTTTTTCTCCCCTTCTCTACATTTCTAGTGCCAGTACTTGATTTCCCGTTATTATAGTTTTTAATATATTACATTGATTTTGTTATAAACATGTATGATTAATAATGATTTTAATTAAATCAGTTACATGGGAAACAATCATCTAATACCATTAATCACACAGCAAGAAAAACAGTCCAACTTTAAAAAATTACAAGAAACAGTAATAAATAATGATCATATTCATTATAGACACTTACATCGAATCTGATTTAGATATTAATATATTCCTGCTATTTAATAGGTCTTTAAATCGTCTAATTTAAACATATTAATAAATATATAAACGAATCGTTGAATGAAGTGAAGTGATGGGACTTGTTGTAATGGATAATTTACGTGCTTATCCAAATGAGGAGGTACTTCCACGTCACGGAAAGAAAAACCATTTGATATATATATATATATACACATATATATATACAAGGTGAGGAAAAAAATCGTATAGGGCACCATTTTTTGTTGAACAAAAAAAAAAATCTTATACAGGGGAGTACAATGATTTTCATTTATTTCAATATGGCCCCATATCTTGTACTTATTTCAAAATGTTTACTGTACGTTTGTGACGCTCATGGAGTGCCAAGTGCCAACCCTTTCATTTTTAAAAGTTATATTGGAATGAACACCAAAACAAAATTGTGTGGGCCAAATTTCGATTCATGCAGGTGGATGAAAAGTTTTTTTTTTATATTGATAGTATTTTTAGAAAATGTTTATTGAAATATTGAAATAATGTATATTTAATATTAATATTATATTGTAAAAATTAGTAATAATGTTTACCATTTAATTTTAGAAATAATGGGTACTGTCATCTCCGATATTCTTTATATTCTAGTTTCAATAAAATACAATGTTATTTTTTTCAATATAAATATTGTATTTCTAGAAAAAATAAATATTCCCTGGTTATAAGATTTCTGTATACAAAACCATCTTAGCCACCTAATGCACAAATTCTTTTATAGCTTTCGAACGATTATTGAAAAAAATTTGCCTTTTTAATATTGATATGATTTTATTTTAGATCATTAATCCAAATTTTCTGGTGTGAGATATATTATTTTCCTGATTTTTGGTGAATCATCTATAAATTTTTTTTCGGCTCAAATCATCTTTTAAAGTTAAGAATGTAATGTTGTAAGTACATTTGCTAAACTTTTGACATTATAAGAAATATAGAGGCGAAAATCAATAAGTGAAATATTATGGGGTAAATAAAAGAAATCAGAAAAATATACGGGCAAAATCGAAAAAAGAGATTATGGGACGGGGCAAAACGAGGGGAAGGGGGAAACCATGAAAGCAAATATTTTATTCTCAGGATTTTAAATTCACAAAAAAGAAAAAAGGAAAATAAACGAAAAAATTGCGTCTCTCCATCTCCGTCTCTTTCCTCCGCACATACCTATCAGGGAAATATCTCCGTCGAAGGCGAAGCGGACGGTAATGGCGGAGGTAGGAGGTGTCGGATGCGGATGTCGCGCCATATCCGGTGGAAGCTTGTTTTACCCCGGCGGATTCACGGTGGAGTCTTGTTTCTTCGGTCACAGAACGAGAAGGACCCGGAGCTTCTTCCGAAACGTCTCGATGATCCCTCCTTTCAAGCCTGGACGCTTATTCTCGAAGTGTCGATCCATCTCCGGGAATAGCCGCATTTTTAGGTTTGATTTTCTTGTTTGGCGTGTGATTCCCGATTCATCGGAAATTTCGGTGCCTCCTGCTGTTTATCTGTGATTTTCGAATTACAGATTGGATTGAGGAAGTTTTCTGAGGGTTTCTGGGTGATTAGTTAATGGAAATTGGGGAGGTGGGAAAAACTAGAAGTTTTTGCTGAGAAATTTGTTTGGGTAATGGATTCTTCCGGACATTATGAAGCCTGAGCATCAATTTATGAAAATTAAGGTCGTCATGAAATGCTATGTTTAAATTGGTGAATAGGGAGAAAATTTAAGTTAACGTTAGCTGATGACATTGTTCAGTTCCAGTTATCTGGTGTCTGGAGTGTAGCTAAATTTGTTAGATGGGTTGATTCGAGAGTGCCATTGGTAAATCAGTTAAGAAGTTTCCTTAACCGATATTCCTTGATTCATATGCTACAGTATGGATGGTCGAGAGAAATCAAGATCACCAGTATTGGTATCATCAAGACATACAAGAGTTCCTGTATTTGTGATGTTGCCTGTTGATACATTTGGAATAGATGCTTCTGGGTGTCCAAGGATTAAAAGGTAGGGTTTTTTGGTCCACTTATTCCTAAAGTTGACAAACATCCAACTTACCATCCCTTGAATTACAGTATCTTGCATATAGAAGATGGTGAAACCAGACTACTTTTATTGTCAAATATAAGTTCAGAACAGGGCAGTTATAATGCGCCTGGCATAGTCTGTTCAGTATCTTGTTTATCAGAGTTTCATCTAAAGAGAAAAACTAGTTTCATTTCATGCTGTAGTCTGGTTTCATCTTCTTCTATATCTTGCAAGATACTGTAACAAGGGATGGTCAGCTACGAAGTGCCTGGCACAGTTGGTTTGGTATTCTGGTTATCACTTATCAGCGTTTCATCTAAATAGAAAAATTAGTTTCATGTTTCTTCTCTGCCGTTATGTATTCGTCTTAACCGGTAGGTAATGAAGTTTTGATGTTTTCTTGTTCCAGAATCAGGGCTTTAACAGTTTCTCTGAAAGCACTCAAGTTGGCTGGTGTTCATGGAATTGCAGCAGAGGTTTGGTGGGGCATTGTAGAGCGTTGTTGTCCGTTTGAGTATAAATGGTCATTATATGAAGAGCTTTTCAGATTGATTTCTGAAACAGGGTTGAAGTTGCATGTTTCTCTTTGTTTTCATTCGAATATGCCCTTGTTTGGTGGAAAAGGGGGCATCAGTCTTCCACTGTGGATTCGAGAGGTTTGTATTGTTAAATAACAGGTATCATGTTAATCATATATACCTACATATTAATGATAGCCAGTTGTGTTGCTTTCTTTTTCAACACCCCAATCACCCTCTCTTCTCTTCCATTCGAATTTTCCTTCTCCTTCTGAGACTTGCTAAGACAAAGGAATTTATGGCTACAGGTTCTTTTTTATTTGGTTAATATCGGAGATTCTAAGATTCCTTTAACATGGTCCTAGATTCTTGTTTTATTCTCTTTCCTTCTCCCTCTCTTGTTTGAGTAGAATACTCTGTCTTTTGAAGTGATGCAGCCCTTTTCTTAGCAGATTCTGCATATCCTTATTTCTCTTGTAACTAGTTTCACTAAACAACCTTTTCTTTCCCAATTTCAGATTGGAGACCTCAATAAGGATATCTACTATCGAGATGAGAATGGATTTTCCAATAGTGACTATCTCACACTTGGAGTCGACCAACTTCCTTTGTTCTGTGGTCGAACTGCCCTTCAATGTTACGAGGATTTTATGATTAGTTTTTGTAATAAATTTGAACCACTCGTTGGAAGCGTAATTGAGGAAATAAGTATCGGTCTTGGTCCATCAGGAGAACTCAGGTATGTTCAAGTTATTTGTAGATTACACATCATGGAGCCAAAATACGAATTTCTTATAAGGCATTAGTTGCAGATATCCTTCGCATCCTTCCGGTGATGGGAGATGGAAATTCCCTGGAATTGGTGAATTCCAGTGCTATGACAAGTACATGTGAGTAATTATTCAGGCAACTTCTTTCTTTCCCTGTTGTGGATCACATTTATAGATTAAGAGCGCTCACTTTGTTTTAGGATGGAAGACTTGAAGGTGGTGGCATCCCAAGAAGGGAAGCCTCAATGGGGAGAACGAGGGCCCCAAAATGCTGGCTGCTATAATAGCTTTCCATCTGGAGTTCCTTTCTTTGAGGATGGTCATGATAACTTTCTCTCTGATTATGGTCGTTTCTTCCTTGTAAGTTTCCCTGTGGTAGCATCTTCTACTATTTTAGTATTTTTCTTAACATAAAGTTCGCATTATCATGCATTTTACTCCTATGGCACTTTCATTCTTCTGATAATGGATTTCTCCTCAGCATTAGACAGCTTTGAAGAACAATGCCATTGATTAAGAATATATACAGTCATCAGGCATTAGTTTCACAAAATGTTTGCATTGTATTTAGAATGCAGACACACAAACACTTTGATTTTGTTGTATGCATGTATGTGTAGACAAACACACATATTTTGCTTTCAAGGCCTAGGTACACGATCATGAGCCGTTTTTCAGATGTAGTGGGAAATAGGGTCTGGATTATAGAAATATATTAAAAGTAGATTTAAAACACCCATATGTTTTTTGATGTAGGAATGGTACAGTGGAAAGTTGATTTGTCATGCTGATGCTATTCTTGCCAAGGCAGCTAGAATATTTAGGAGATGTCAGGAGGGGGAGAAAAGTTCTGTAATGCTTGTTGCCAAAATTGGTGGAATCTATTGGTGGTACCAGACAATATCGCATGCTGCTGAACTAACTGCTGGTTACTATAACACCAGTCTCCGAGATGGTTATGATCCTGTTGCTTCTGTGTTATCTCGGCATGGGGCTGCTTTGCATGTCCCGTAAGATGTTGCTTTTCTTTTCAGTTTCCTTTATATATATATATATGCTCCATGTTGTCTGTCAAAGCATAGCCATTCTATGCTCCCCACAGTTTGGCTCTCTCTCACACACATTTCGTAGAATCCAAATATACTCCATGTTGTCAGCATGAATGCATGGTCATTATATACTCCCCACAATCTCTCTCTCTCTCTCTCTCTCTCTCTCTCTTTCACATATGCGCACACACATTCCTTGGAATCCACATGAGTTCGATTTTGCTCACGAGATCAATCTTGCTTCTGGTTAGTTGCTTGGATATGAAGGACAGTGAAACACCACCAACTTATCTTTGCAGCCCTGAAGGATTACTGAGACAGGTATTTATCCTATTTTATGTGGCAAATCTCCTTTCCATCTCTAATATTGGAAATCTTTCTTTTCATGGTTTTCGGCTAAAACATTACATTGCATAAGCCCTAAATGAAGTTTTTTGTGTCTAAATAATATCTCGAACATTCTAATCTTTTACATCTAAGTGCAGAGAGCACTATTCCTCATGTTATTTGTTTGTTTTATTTTTATGGAGAGAAAATAAGCATATGCCAGGAAGATGAGGTTGCAGAGCCTACCTGATGAAAATATACACAGATAATATCATTTAGGCGCCTAATAAATGATCAGATTCTTTTTAATCCTCCTTATTATTGCTAGATACACAATATCTCAAAGAAGAGGACTATATATTTGACTGGAAGAAATATGAATGAAAGATTTGATGAGGTGAGACACATCCTATTATCTATTGCAATTTCAATTGTCCTTTTCCTGCTCGCATTACCGGCTGGTAGTATTTTGTAATCTATTTATTCTTGGCATAAGAAAAACGGGTTTGTGTTTTAACAATTTCGCACAGATGGGGTTGCAGCAAATACGTGCCAACTGTGTCCAACCCAACGGTGATGCTGTAAGATCATTTACCTACTTCAGAATGAATGAGAAGATTTTTAGGGTTGAAAACTGGAACAACTTTGTACCCTTTGTTAGACAGATGAGCGCAGACATGTAAATTACTGTCAAATAAAATCCAGCCATTTATTATGTAATCTGTCACGAACAATTGACCTCATTGACCCCCACCATATTGTTTTTTCTTATTTGATGGGGTAAATCAAAGTAGCGGTCTAATTTCTGGTCCTATACGCTGTTTCGATATCTTTTTTTCTGCTGCTTTCTTAAGACCCTCAGGATTATACTGGAGGGTGGGTGAGGTGAAAAAAATTACCTTGTATAGTTGCATTAGCAGTAGCATAGGAGGACTTGATTCTCTTTTAGCCCGGTTGGCCTATTAACCCAAAGAAAAGGTACGTAATTCTTTCCATAACTGAGCATATTAACCCAAAGAACAGGTACATAATTCTCTTAGGCAGACCCGAGGTGCCTTCAACTGAGCATATTAACCCAAAGAAAAGGTATGTAATTCTTTCCGTTATCTTGGCCTTTTGAATAATATATGCTGTTTTCGTGCTATCTTGGAGATCACTGAATGGCAGTGATGGATTTGAGACTTGTGGTTTGTACGTCCAGCTAATGTTATGAATTCGTTCCCTTGGCTATAACTCGTTTGCCCTTCCACCGATAGCATTCATTCCCGACCCTTGTAGATGTTTGTTCACTACCCATGCCTGCATCTGGAAATTGTTTCCGGAAAAAAGGATTAGAGGAAAGCGTGTTTCGATTTGCATTAGGATTAGAGTTTGAAGCATTAAACATTCTAATTTCTGTGAATAAATCTTATGTAGTATCGTAACTTTGTGCATAATGTTACCTTGGCATTCTTGATGTGACCCAGTTGCATGACTGACTGTTATGGTGCAGCGTGTAGATTGTTATGGACGTGGACGTGGAACAATTCACAGCATCTATGAGTCCATGCATATGTATGTAGATGTTGCTTATGATGATATATCACTCACCTTATACATCATCATGCATGGTCCATGAGCTATCTGCATGTTGTGCCCTCTCTCCCATCCGTGGTTTTGTAAGAGGTTTGAGTTGGAGATCTTCTCCCAATCTTGTGACCATTGTCATGTTTTCCGGTGCAGGGATTGAAGAGAGGAGGGCATCACCAGAATCAACTACCACTTTAAACAGGTATAACTGCGTGCCGTTTACCTAGTAATTACACGGCGTGTAGTTTGTTCGCTGTGTGCATGAACGCTGTGAGGTTTTTGTTTTTTCTCTTTTTTATTAATTTTCCTTTGGCGAAAGAAGATATTTATTTTCTTTCGTCTTTACTTCTCTTCATCGGTTGCTGTGAAACCACCAGTCATGGCAATATCTCATCTTTGTTCACCATTGCCACCTCCCTTTTTCTCCCAAACCAAAACCCTAACTCTAATCGACCGTTCGTTTCCCTCTCTAGACCCTAATCCTCGATTCCTCAAACCCAGAATCTCGAGGGAAAGATCAGTCCTCGTTCAATCCAAGGGCCAGGATTCGGCCGACGTCCCTGACCGGATAATATCAGCCGTCTGCTACTTCTACCCTTTCTTCGACGGGATCCAGTACGGGAAATTCGTCATCACCCAGTTCCCGCCGATTCAGATTCTCATCCAGCCTTTGTTTCCGGCCATAAAAGTATTCAAGAGCTTTCCCTTCAATGGGTTCCTTGTGTTTTTGACACTCTACTTCGTGGTGGTGAGGAACAATAATTTCAGCAGGTACGTGAGGTTCAACACGATGCAGGCGATAGGGCTGGACGTGCTGTTGATATTTCCGGATTTGTTGGAGAGGAGTTTCAACCCGAGACAAGGGTGGGGTTTGGATCTGGTGATGAGTTTGGACAGCACTGTCTTCTTGTTCTTGCTCGTCTCCCTCATCTATGGCTCCTCTTCTTGCTTGCTCGGTCTGCTCCCTAGACTGCCCATTGTTGCTGATGCTGCTGACAGGCAAGTCCTCTGATCTTCTGATCTCTCCTCACTTTCCCAATAATCTCTTCATATGGTATTCACAAGTGTAATTTGGATTGAGTTTCCTTGTTGTTTGGTTCTGTTTATGATATTGCAACCTAATTACTCAATTTCATATGTAGTATCAAAACGTAGTAAAATACAACACTGACTAAAATGCCAAACCCCCAAACCCAGAAAAGAAAAGGATTAAAATAACCAAAATCAAATAGCAACACACGTTTACTGACAGGACACTACATCAACCATAGAGCACAAAGACAGATCAAACTCATGACCAATCCAACCTTAGCTCCTCCAGCGATCCTGTCCCCTGCATCATCCGCTGTCTGATCGGCCGGGTCTTCATCATCCGGGGAATCCGCTGGAGAATCCGACTCATCGAAAGAATCCGGCGAATCTGCCGCTTTCTTCTTCCCCTTCCCTTTTCCCTTACCCTTTGAAGCTTTAGGCGAATCTGCAGGTTCTTCCTCTTCGGGACCTGGGGCAGGAGCCGGCGAGGGAGCTTCCACGGCCTTGAACAGCTCCTTCGGCAGTAGAACCTTATCCGTTGCGTAGATAGCCAGTGGCTGCTCGTCGATCAAAGTATCGATGATCTTAACTGTATCGATCCTCGTCTTAAGGGTGACATCCTCGCCGTCGTTCTGGACGGTTAGCTCGAACTTGTTGGCTCCGTCGGTTGCAAGAGTGTTCATCGGACCATTGTTCGATTTTAGCATCGACATCGAGTAGTAGGTCGGGACGGCGAGGAACTCCAAGAATGCTTCTTTGTTCGGAGCAGTCAAGTTCTTGTATTTCGGCAAGAAACCTTTCATCGCGTCGTCGCCTGGACAGAACACTGTCATTCCTCCTTCCACACTCTCCTGTAATAAGATCATCGTCACGTCGAAAATATCAGATTTTTGTCCGACCAATCCAAGAAATCGGAAAAAAAAGTACACCCTTATGTAAATCTTGGTGTTTTAAGTTTTTACTGAGTAGTGTAATTTTAGGCAAAATGCAAGAACAATGTTCACTGCAATGTCTTAAAATGGAAATGTTCTTCAAGTCTGGTGCTTGATGACATGATCAATGAGAGATGGGTTGGGGAAAAGGAAGAAATCATTGTTCCTTTCCATATTTTTTTTTCATTCTATACTTAATCCGTATTGAAATTTGAAATTGGACTAATCCTCCAATAATTGAGCTAATCTTTGACCGATTTGCCACTAAGGTACCTAAAAGCTTTTGACTTTTGTTTTTCAAAGCACATGCATCCCATGAACATGAACCCATCACCCAAAATCTCTAAAGCAACTCAAATTTTTAATTTTCAATTCAAGGAATAAAATGTACACTTAAAAGAGTGATTATTGCTAATTAAGCAGATGATTAGTTACTAATTTTGGGATGGATGGCTTGAGTACCTGGTACGTCTTGGAAGCTCCGGGATTGGCGAGGAGGGTCTCGGCGAAGACCTTGCAGCCATGCGCCGACATTATTCCGGTGAGGTTCATCTCTGCCGGCGCCGGCGTCGGAGCCGCCGCGACGTCCGACGGCAGGACCTTGCTGATCTGGATCACCGAGATGTTGTACGGAACCTCCTCTAGGGATTTGACGAAGAACGCCGACAGATCTCCGCCGTCGGGTCCGAACCCGACCTTGCCTCCCCTCAGATCCGTGATGTTGACGAACCCCGAGGTCCCCGGAGCCGAGCCGGTGGCCTGGAAGAGC